GTCAACATTTTTTCTGGTTTGTCTGTTGTAAATGCTAAAATTCAAAGTTAGTTAGCGAGTGAAACTTTTTTCTTTGGTCATTTATTGAATCGAAATGTGATTAGCCTTTGATTTGACACTAAGTAGTAGTGTTATTATTATTATTATTGTTCCCTTGGGTTCCTAGTGGAACATAGGGCTTCAGCTGCACGCCTCCACTTGCTTCTGTCTTCTGCTGTACTTTTCACCTGTGTCCATGTTAATCAATACTGTTTCAATTCCTCTTCACACAATCTCCTCCATGTCACCCTTGCACTGACGTCCCACTCGCCGCTTCCCTTTCGGGTTCCACTCGAGCACTGGCCTGACGCGCCATGTCACCCAGCGGCCTCCTCAGCGAGTGTCCAATCCATCTCCACTTTCTCCTGCATATTTGTTGGGTGATTGGTTCTTGTTTCGTTTGTTCCCATAGTTTCTTGTTTGTGATTCTTTCCGGCCATCTGATCTTCAGTATAGAGCGAAGACAGTTGTTGATAAGTAGTAGTGTGGTAACGACTAATGTTCATGCGCCTAGTCCTTGGCATGTTTTAGTGCAGATTGAATTCTATATTATACAGTTAGCTATAGGTGACTGCTGACTCACCATCACAGTGCAGTCTGAATTGTTGTGTTATAGGCTTCGTGCTGGTTGGCACTTACCACAGTCAGCAAGGCGTATTTGCAACCGCCTTGAAGGAAGTCTCATGTCCCACCCGTCTGTCTGAGATTCCAACTCGCGTCACCCTAGTGCTGACTGTAGTGAGAGTGAGTGTTACTACACTGAGCTATTCAGTTTCGCGAATGACTTCTTGTAGAAACTTAATGGATACTTTGGTTGGACACTAGGGTAGTAACTAATGTCAAGCTGGCTGGCTGACTGGTTTCAACATAGAACTTTTCACCGATGTGCAGCAGTCCGAGCTGCCACACTCCCTCCACGTAGCACATGAAGCAAGAGAAGAAAGTAGAAAGAAATGCAAAATAGAGACACTAAACAGAGTTATAGGGCAAGAAGAATAGTAATATCGAAGAACAATATAGTTTCATTGGATATCATAAGTCACAAGGAATGGATGCATCTGAGCCAGCCATTGAGAGCAATTTTGAGCCAAATCACCAATTGTCTCCTGCCGCCATCTGTGTTTACCATCCCGAGGACTCCAACCAGAAAGCCAGTGTACACCTTCATACTTGACTGGCTGGCTTAAAGTAACTGTTGTGGATTTCATTGACTGGTGTCATGTTTTGGTTTGTCCGCCGCTAGCTCTTTTCCAGCCTGACCCTATGTCAGCTGACATTGCCCGTTGTCGAGGAAGGCAATGGCTAGGTATACGTAACACACGTCCTAACCACCTCAGTCGATGTAACTTCACAGCCTCGTTGATTGATTTCCCCTCCCTCCTTACCTAACATTCGACGCCTAACCTCAATATTGCTCACCCTATTATACCACTTCACATGGGAGATAAAACGCAGGCACCTGTGATCAAAGATAGCTAGCTAGACTGGTTTTTCATGTCCTCCACTCTCAATGATCAGGTCTCACAGCCATAAAGAAGGACGGAGCGGACTGCTGAGCAGTCCAGCCGCCCTTCGGTTGATAGCCAGCCGGACATTGCGTCTGCGCCAGAGACGGTGTTAACTGACATATGCGAAACTAGCCTTATGTATTCGTGCTGAGATTTCGTCAGCGATCAACCCGCTGGTTTTGGCTGATGCAACTTCCTTTCAAATAAGTGAAGTAGTCAGCACACTCAGCGATCACTACTTTGTCATGGCTCTATCGCTTACTCTTGTGGTGCAGAACTTACAACAATCCACCTGCATAATCAATCCCCCGACGCCTACGCTTACCTAAATATGTAGGTCGCCAGCTGAATCACAAAGGCAAAGGTTTTACACACATCCCTTTTACACAATATCTTTCATAGTTTGAGGAGTAAAACTTATCGGAAGATTCAAGAGGTCTGTAGGCAATAAAAAGTGCCTCCAAGGCCTCAGGATGGTCGGGGGTGGGTGCCTTGCGCTGCGGGTTGGCCACCCCTCCGCACACCTCTTGAAATGCTCCCATATGACCGGGCGTCTTACATAGCCTCTCCTGAGGAAGTCCTACTCACTGCCTTCACGTGGCGGAGGTGTTTTCACCAAAGTGAGAGGGCGAAAGCGGATGCCCGGCGCTCTCCACCGGGTTGACTGTCCATTGGATGACAGTCTAGGGGAGATGGCTAAACCCTGATTTCAAACCTCCAACGAGGGGCGTACGAAGCTCACTGGAGCTCACCGGCAGACGTATGGACAAAGGGCTTGTTGGATGACCTGGATGTCTGGCCCCATTCAAAAAGGCGTATGAACCGAACTCCGGTCACCGGCTGCCAATGGATAGTGGACTCCCTACTCCACTCCTACTGCCTTGTAGGTCACACTTGGTTGTGTGAGGGCTAGAGCTGCACTCTCAAACAAAAGGCCGAGCGATTCTGGGGACATCACTCGTACCAAATTCCCATGAAACTTCATGAACTCTCTTACAAACGATAACCCTGTCGCAAAACCTTGCATCAGATCGCCGCGCCTGGGCAGCGATGATTCGAGATGTTCATGAAGCCGGCTCATCCTCCCGTAGGAGATAACCGAAGTAAAGTAAAGTAAGTAATAAAAAAGTGTATAATTGACCTCATATTTTTTTTGGAATTCGATGAAATGGATTGTAAACATTCTAGTGGTCAAAGATAGCTAGCCAGCCTTTTCACCATATCTTCCACACTTTCAATGATATTAGATGATTGGACGCAATCGGCAGCTGATAGCCTTGGACCTAGGTTTCGTGCTAGTTGGCAATTACCAGTCAGGAAGGCGTAACTGCAACCGTCTTGATGGAAGTCATGTCCCACCCGTCTGAGATTCGAGCCCGCGTCACCCTGTGCTGTCTGCAGTCAGAGATGTTACCACTGAGCTAGCTATTTGGGCTCACGATTGACCTCCTGTAGGACTGTATTGGATACCTTGATTGGACACTAGTGAGGGACTAGTGTCCAATCAAAAGTACACTTTCAATGGCCTGGACAATCTTTTTATTTAACTCTTTCTTTCTGTCTTTTTATCTTTATAGGCTGATCTACAAGGTGATCAGTTCATAGCAGATTTACAACGTACATTGAGAAATCTTCGTGCATTCAATGCTGTAATGCGTGTACGTACTAGTACAGGTATTCGACCTGTAGAATTCTTTGGTAATTGTTATCTACCGAATACAACTGATGTGGAAATGGCTGGTGTCACTTCTGATATGGCTATCACTGTTGAATTACGTCATGATGATAAACTACAAGAAGGTGAACTTGTTTTCATTCAGGTAAGAGTTATTTTTACTATTATTATTATTATTCGCTTGGGTTCTGAGTGGAACATAGGCCTTCAATACGACGTATTCATTTCGTCCTCTTCTCTACAGTTCTCTTCAGCAGCTGATCCAACGATAGACCATAATCTTTCATCTTATCCTCACGTGTGATCTCTCCTCCATGTCACACCTGCGAACGTTCAACGCGTAGTCTCCCACTTGGGTGCTACTCGAGCTATGGTCTGGTGGCGTGGTGTGCAATGTCAACCAACTTGTCTGCTCAGAATGTATTCGATCCATTTAGATTTTCTTCGAGTTTCTTGTTGCTAATAATTCTTTCTGACGACCGGCTATCTGATCTTCAGTGTGTGGAGCCAGCGAAGTGGGCAGCTGTTGGCAAAAGTCTCAAGTGGTCTGTTAGAAATGATATTAGAAAGCAAAAAGGATTGAGCGAAGAAATATTTATGTTTCAATGAAATCCTCATCTCTGGTTCTACTCTAATCTACACCTATAGCTTTTTGAATACAATACACAACATCCTAATTTGGGAATCATCGGCAGTACGCGCCCCATTGCACCGGGCTTTGAACCCTAGACCTTCCAGTTACAAGGAGAGCTGGCTCGTATACCATTGAGCCACTGGGACCCGATTCAATGGCCACTGTATGAATTCTAACTTCTACCAATTCGTGGTTTAGCACAACTGACACCAACCAATGTCATCGGTTGTCAGGTAGTCAGGTTAAAACATTAATGTAACGATGACCAAGGTTAGGAAAGTGGTTGTACAAATTTTGTCTTTCAACTCACAAGTTTGGCTTCTTCAGGTGGATTCCGATAGCTTCAGGTGTAGGTATGCAGAAAACTGACTGACTGGTTCCAACGTAGAACTTTGCACCGATGTTCAGCAGTTCAAGTCACCAAACTTCAATCAGCACACAAGACCTTAAAAAAAGAAGAAAGTAAAAAGTGATTCAAAAGACAGATCGTAAACAGAGATATTAGGCAAAAAGAATAGTAATATGGAAGAAGAATGTAGTTTCATTGGAAATTATAAGCCACAAGGAGTGGATGCATCTGCGCCATCATCGAGAAAGATTTTGAGCCACATCATCGATTATCTCCCGACTGATAGCTGCTACATTGACGTGGTGGTCGGGCTTGTATATCGCAATGACTGAAGAAGCTACACTGGCTGGAACCAATGTTCCTGCAGGTCCTACCATACCAGGAAGGTTGTTAAGATAGCGATTAGACTAAAAGTACTTACCGGGATAGTGTAAGATGGGGGTCTGTGGGTGAAGTCGTACTTCTGGGGAACAGGAATGTAACAGCAGTGAGGTGCTTCCCTCGGACGACTAGCATGCCAGCCAGCTATGCTGTCTCTCCACTCTAGAGAGGTTGAGAGGGTTAGAAAGGGTCGACCCCAGAAATTGTACATCCGGACTTACCCTACGGTGGTCCGTAACCGGCGGTAAGTTTACTAATACAGAACCAAACCAAGAAACCAGTTCATACAAGCCGTGTGTGACCGATCGGCCTCAAGCAGTTGTCCCTTGGGCTCTGCGGTGACGCAACACTAACCTTCTCTCTGTTTCAGGTACCTGAAGAATCAGGCAACTTCCACGGTGTGAGCAGCCGGGAAGTAACAACCACCCACACTGCTCCAGAAGCACACGAAGCCATCCTCTATTTGGAAAACGAACTGGTAAAACAAAATTAAGATTAGTTGGAATGCGATAAATAACTTTAAGCATTGTACTAGCATCAACTTTATGCTCACTATCTACAAGGTATGCTAAAAGAGAGCTACGACTGGATCTCGTTTCTCCCTTGCCTAACCATTATGCAGGATGATGTTCGGAAATATGATGTAATGTATTGTATTAATAATTATAATCTCCCATGGAGTGGTTGTTTCATAATGATGGCTTGGGTAGCACACACCAATTTGAGCCTGGTTGTCAAAAGTCGGTACGTTCACTATTGTTCTCTACACCTATGAAACCTGGCCTTTTGTTTTAGCTAAGAATGTGCGGTGACTCTGCGAATTCGATCATCGCTACCTCCATAGGATTATTTACATCCTATGTCATCATAGTGTAAGTAATTCTGAGGTATGATAGCGTATGTTTCGACATGGTGAAGGTCACCATTTATTAAATGAGATCATCCTGAAACACTGGCTTTAGTGGCTTGCATATTTGCTACGAATGTCACCCCAGAGAGACTTCTGTGCTGGTCGCCATTCGTCAGTCCCAGAAGTGGATGGAAAAAGCGCAAGAAGTGGTGGTCAGCCTATGTAATGGGGTCGTGGGTTGAAGGATATTTGTGCTGGATTAGCGCATCAGTTGGTGAATGATGAACTCCCTGGTTGTTGGAGTCCAAGAGGTAGTTTGCGTCAACAACTTGAAAAGTATTCAGATCAGGTCAGGTCAAGAATCGTAATCAGTAGCGATGAATGTTGAATGAGATCTTGACAAGTTGCTTGCTGGATGATCCTCTCTCATAAATTCTTTATAAATATTGTTGAAGCCTCTTTATATACGACTGTAATTCAAGGGCGATGTACTAAGTGAAATAATTACGAAGAAATTAAGGAAATCAGTTCAAAGAACTTTTAATACTGGCGAAGTACACGTCTTATTCTCTACACAACCGATGATGATTCCTCGACTGAAAGATGAAGTACCTAGACTAGAATAGCCACTTCAAATTGTATCTACCAATTCGACTGCGCCGCTTTTGGTGGAGCGAGTTATATTGGCCGTTGCTCTAGGAACTTGATTTTTCGTGCTCACTCGAGAACGTCTCCCAGTTTGGCTAAGTAAAAGTGTAGTGAAAACCACCATCAACACTTCGATATTAAACCATCTGATGCAAACCGGCCGGCCACAAAACCAGCTAGCATTGAAGAATCCTTCTCCATCATCATCTACAGGGTGCCTAATATAAATTGCCATAAACATCGAAGCACCGCATGCTCCAAACAGCAGCAGAGGCTATTGTAATTCGCCTCAAACAACCAGTGCTCTGTGTGCAAAAGAAACAAGTCCAGCTAGCCCCTACTACTACCCTGGCTGGCCTTCAGTAGAGACCATAAATTCATAAATTTGTAATATTATCTCTCCTAATTTTTCCGACATTCAGCTTATTGCTATGTTGATGCTATTGAGCTGTAATCTATCAACATTATTGATTCGATGTTATTTAAACAACATTAATGTTGTTGATAACACTAATTCATTCACTATAATGTATGTATAACTGTAGAACCTGATGATGAAGTTATCGAAAAGAGTATTCTTTGTTCAGTAACCATTCTTTTGTAAATATTGTTGTCTCGATTACTTTTATGTGTGGCGCTCACCTTTTGGTTTGTGTTTTAAATCAATAATACATATTACTAATACTAATACTGATACTACTATTAAAAATTATATATCTAAACAGGTTGCCTGTCTGTATACCTCAGTGTCTGGCCAACGTCGTCTACGCATACACAATCTATCGATACCAGCGACAAATGTTATCACTGAAATATTCCGTTTGGTTGAATTAGATGCACACATGAATTATTTGAGTAAATATTCTATGCGCGCATTATTAAGTCGTCCACACACCCAAGTTATGGATGAGTTAACGACAAAAGCGGCTAACACACTAGCAGCATATCGTCGTAATTGTGCTAGTGGAAGCGGTGGTGATATGGCCTCCAGTCCAGGTGAATTGGTTCTACCACAGAATATGAAATTATTCCCCTTGTATATACAATGTCTTATGAAAACTGAAGCTTTCAGTCCAGGTTGGTTCTACCTTTTATTATTATTATTTTTCATTACAACTATATTGATCAGTGTGTATATTCTTTTATGAGTGATTATTGATGTGCGTAGGACTGTTCTATTATTATTATTGTTTCCTTTAATTCCTAGAGGAACATAGGGCTTCAGACGCGCGTCTCCATTGCGTCCGGTTCTCTGCTAGAGTTTTCACCTGGCTTCAGGTCTGCCCACATGCTTTCATCTCCTCTTCACATGACCTCCTCCAAGTCACCCTTGCACTGACGACCAACTCGCCACTTCCTGTGAGGGTTCGACTCGAGGGCTCGTCTAGTGATGTCACTTGATAGTTTGTTTCCTCAGAGTATGGCCAATCCAGTCCATCTCCATTTCTTCCTGCCTATTTGTTTCATAATCGGTTCCTGGTTGTTTTGCTCCCAGAGATCTCTGTTGCTGATCTTTTCTGGCTGGCCATCTGATCTTGAGTATTGAGCGAAGACAGGTAGCTGTTAATGAAGGTCTGTAGTTTGTTTGAGATGCTGTTTATGACGCTTAGTGCAAGTCTGTGATCCGTATAGTAGCACTGACTGACTTCACATTGGAGTTGAAAATCCGGATCTTATTTTTGATGCTGAGTGCTGAGTGTTGATCTCCACACAGACTTGAGAGTAGTGAAAGCTTGTCTTGTTTTTCCGATTCTTGCTTTGATATCCTCGTCAGTTCCGCCGGCCTGTAGTTGAAACGACGCTTTCCAGGTAGGTAAAAGGTTCCTTCCATTTATGCTGATCGTTGTCTGTTGTTGTTGTTGTTCTTGTCCAGGAATCTTCATTACTTCTGTTTTCTCTATGTTCACCTGAAGTCCTATATTTGATGCTTCTTCTGCCAACTTGTTGCTTTTCACTTGGATATCTTCCAGTTTGTGGGAAATCAGACATATATCATCGGCGATCTTTTCATTTCGTTTGCGATCTTGGCAGCTTTGCCAATGTCGTACATGGTGCGGACATTCCATGTTCCCACACAGACTTTTTCTTTTGGCGCAAGGAGATTCATCGTGCTGAAGTTTCTGTAGCAACTTTGTTTACAGCGTGGGGTTGCTAGCCTCACGTCTGAGAAGGGGATTGTTACATTAAATTATAGTTTAGAGAGAAGCGACCTTGTGGGTTGTTCCCCTTAAAACCAGGAAAACAAGGAATAAAACAATCAGAACAACACCAGCACAGGAAAATAATTCACAACAAGAACGGTAACAAGGGACAACAACAATAATAATATCACAGTCAAGTACAGTTAACCAGAATGATACCAAAGTCATAGACTCACTGAGTTGAGCCAACTTGAACATGTAAATCCATCAATATATACAATTATAGATATCAGTTAATGTTAAACAAGCACAGAGTGGCAAATAGATAGTTATAGGTATTATCTATCAAAAGCACTATATCCAAGATTCAGTGTTTCAAAGGCAAATAATTGCAATAGCTTTTTGCAACTTTTCGGCAAGATATTCCACAAAAATAAGAGTTTTGGGTAACTATGTAAAAGTAACGTATTAATCAGGACTGTTGAGTGGGTACTTATTTCTGTTATTATTATTATTGTTCCCTTGGGTTCCGAGTGGAACACTTGTGGGTTTCAACAGTACATCTCCACATTGTTCTCATCTCTTCCTGACATGATCTCCTTCATGACACCGTCGGGCGCTCCAAACTGGTAGTTTGCCATTTAGGTTCCACTCGGACGTTGGCCTGGTGGGCGATGTCATTCGATGGTCTCCTTCTCAGTGGCGTGTTTTCGATCCATCTTGGTCTTTCCTTCGGCATGTTTGTGTTGAGCAATGACTTTTTGGTTGGTTCGTTTCCAAAGTTTCTTGTTGCTGATTCTTTCTAGTCGTCTGTCTTCGGTATATGGAGCAAAGGCGACCATAGGATGTGCGATACAAAATCTAATAGTGTGAGCGGATGCTCAAACTGAAGTGCGCCACTGTTGTGACTTAAAGTCTGAGAAGCGTCAGAACCAGCAGCTACATTCCTATGATTACTGGTGACCTAAACGTGGTCTGTACGCCGCCATTCGATGCATTCAGATTCTGGAGTTCATGTTCACCATAGGTTTGGAACCAGGGCTTGCCAGTTCCACTTATACCAGTCTTCCAGTTCCGTAGTAATCGGCAAACGTTCGAACTTGCCATTACACTTTTGCGAAGAACACCCCAGCGGTGCGTGAAGGCGGTGATGAATAAGAGTTACTTGTCAGAGGTTAGGCAATGAAGGTGTGTGATCACATGACAGCATTTGGAGAAGAAGACCCTGATGTCTAGCCACTCTCGGCACACATCAGGTCGTTTATGCGGGCAAGTAGTAGTTTCATAAACGATGTATTTTTAGCATTTAAATCAACTATTGAGAGTTTTCATAAGTCACTGCAATTTAGTTTGAATCTGTGTACTTCATAGTGTAGGAGGTGTGCCTTTCCATTTGATTACAAGATTTAATAGTGTCCTGAATGGTTATTTTTATATGACTGAGTAAAGTGTAAACATGCGAGCGTGCTGTGACCATTCAGCTTACATTAGAAGTTGTTGCGCATCAACCCTAATAGGCTACTACTAATTAATTGGTGACGAGTTGGTAGCAGTGGATGCTCAAGGTTGGTGTTGACATTTGTGAACTTGTATAACAGAAGGGTATCGATCATCGTAGGACAGCGTAGACCAAGAAGTAATTTGGAAACTACTTAAACACTACGGCGTGCAATGCCCAAGTCTTTCTCAACCTCATTCAACAGCTGGCTAGATGACAATGACACGTATCAAGTGATCCACAACGTAAAACTCAGCGAGGCGGGTGCTCGAAGTGCATACAGGAGTAAGACAAGCTGGCTGCCTGGCTATTATCAGCGATGATATTCTTAATTGTGGTGGACTGGATTATACGTCAGACTGTGCGTGCGTTGGAAGCGAGGAGATAGGAGTACGCTGGACTACACCGATGATAAGAAGACTCTAGAAGATCTGGATTTCGCAGACGATATATGTCTAATGTTACACAAACTTGAACACTTGGAGGCGGGCGAAAACCAACAAACTAGCTGAAGAAGAGGCAGCAAAAACAGGACTGCAGGTGAACACAGCGAATACGGACGGAGGTGACGAAGATAACCAGCCGACAGCAACAACAACCAGCACCAATCACCATCAACGGGAAATATTTAACAGAGGTTGCCTTCTTCACTTATCTGACCAGGAAGCATCGTTTCAACTACAGGCGTAACGGACGAAGATGTTAAGGTCAATGAGAATCGGAAAGGCAAGATACGCATGCCTTCATCAACCTGAAACCAGTTTGGAAATTTTCCGCACTCAGCATAAGGAACAAGATTAGCATTTTCAACACCATTGTCAATTTGGTCCTTCTATACGGGTCAGAAACTTGCACTGCGTGTGTGTCACAAAAAGGATTTCCAACAGGCTACCGCAGACTTTCATCGATAGGTGTCTTCACTACATATTGAAAATTGAATGCCCAGAAAGAATTAGCAACAAGGAACACTATTATTATTGTTTCCTTTAATTCCTAGAGGAACATAGGGCTTCAGACGCGCGTCTCCATTGCGTTCGGTTCTCTGCTAGAGTTTTCACCTGGCTTCAGGTCTGCCCACATGCTTTCATCTCCTCTTCACATGACCTCCTCCAAGTCACCCTTGCACTGACGACCAACTCGCCACTTCCTGTGAGGGTTCGACTCGAGGGCTCGTCTAGTGATGTCACTTGATAGTTTGTTTCCTCAGAGTATGGCCAATCCAGTCCATCTCCATTTCTTCCTGCCTATTTGTTTCATAATCGGTTCCTGGTTGTTTTGCTCCCAGAGATCTCTGTTGCTGATCTTTTCTGGCTGGCCATCTGATCTTGAGTATTGAGCGAAGACAGGTAGCTGTTAATGAAGGTCTGTAGTTTGTTTGAGATGCTGTTTATGACGCTTAGTGCAAGTCTGTGATCCGTATAGTAGCACTGACTGACTTCACATTGGAGTTGAAAATCCGGATCTTATTTTTGATGCTGAGTGCTGAGTGTTGATCTCCACACAGACTTGAGAGTAGTGAAAGCTTGTCTTGTTTTTCCGATTCTTGCTTTGATATCCTCGTCAGTTCAGCCTGTAGTTGAAACGATGCTTCCAAGGTAGGTAAAAGAGGTTGTTTCTTTCAGGTTCCTCCCATTTATGCTGATTGTTGTCTGTTGTTGTTGTTGTTGTTGCTGTTGGTGGTGTTGGCCAGGAATCTTCACCTCTGTTTTCTCTATGTTCACCTGAAGTCCTATCTTTAATGCTTCTTCTTCCAACTTGTTGCTTTTCGCTTGCATATCTTCTAGTTTGTGGGAAATCAGACATATATCATCGGCGAAGTCCAGATCCTCCGAGTTTTTTGCGTGAGTCCATTTTATGCCTGTTTCGGTCGGTCGGTTTTCGACATAGAACTTTGCACATATGTGCGGCAGTTCAAGTCGCCACAATCTATGTAGCACGCAAAGCAAGAGAAGAAAGTAGAAGAAATGCATAATATAGACAGTAAACAGAGGTGTGAGACAAAGGAATAGTAATAACGGAGAACAAAACAGTTTCATTGGAAATCATAAGTCACAAGGAGTGGATGCATCTGCGCCATTGAGAACGAATTTGAGCCATGTCACCAATTGTTTCCAACCATTGGTTTTTACCATCCCGAGGGCCCCAACCAGGAAGTCTACATCTTCCTACGTGGCTTAGATTAACTGTTGTGGATTTCATTGATTGATGCCATGTTTTGGTTTGACCGCCGCTAGCTCTTTTCCAGCCTGACCCTATATCAGCTAACATTGCCCGTTGTCGAGGAAGGCGATGACTAGGCATACGTAGCACATGTCCTAACCATCTCAGTCGAAGTAATTTCACAGTCTCGTCGATTGATTTCCCCGCCTTACCTAGCACTCGACGCCTAACCTCAATATTGCTCACCTTATTATACCACTTCACGCGGGAGATAGAAC